GGGCCTCCGGGTTGGGGCGGTTTTTTTGGCGAAAAGGGTGCCAAAAGGCAAAAGGACGGCCTTGGGTTTCTCGAATGGGAAAGGGATCGGGGGGGGGGGGGGATGTATTAATATTGGGGCAGCCCGTGTTCTTTGGCCCATGGAGGTGGCATCCTTAGGAAGCGGGGAGGGAGCACCCGGGGTTCTCCGGGGCCCGGGGGGGGGGGGGGCAGAACTTCGTTCAGTCGTGGTTCATGGGCTCTGCCTGGGGACAACCAATGGATGCGCCACGTGGCCTAGCGATCGGCAAATAACGTCATATGTGGGCCACGTATGCATAGGCTACTGTAGTCCAGTCATTCATAAAAAGAACAATTCTACCCAACAGCTAAGCCACAATCGAGCCAGCGGCACGCTCGTTGCATGTCTCCAGATTCGTTGGGACTTGGCTTTCGACCCGCTCACGGTATCATGGATGGTAATGGTTTACGTTTCCTAGAAGATACTTACTCATGCATACATACACGTTTTTACATTTCAGCAGATAGATACATGTGTCGATATCGAGGTTCTGACGCGTGCGGTTGTCTTTATTATTAGCATCGACCGTGCTAACCGGGTGGCCAATGAAAACGCCAGTCTTAGTGCGGTGGAAAGCATGAAATTTTTCTACAGCGGTATCGGCTACGATCTTGGACACTGGGACCGAGCGTCAAGGGGGAGTCTACGCTACTCTCCGGATGAAAGACAGATACCGCAGTGATAACACAAGAAAACTGCACTTGTTTGCCATGGCTACTACTTTGGATGCGCGTTCGTTTTGGATTGCTTTCATCGTTTTCCCTGCACTTACTACCGTCACCGATGTTCCCACTACTTTTTGGCAGGTCCTATCCAGTCGTGCGGTGTTTGTTGTGAGGAAGGTCATCTGGCTCAAACCCTTTGCTCTCCTCCACGCTATGTTTTCCTCCTCCATCATCGTCTTTATTCTCCTTTATTTCCTCTCCCCTTCCTCCATGTACTTCATTCACCCTAGAGAATTTCCCTCAATACGATCGTCACCGCTTTTACTAGAAATACCACTGAAATCCCAACCTGTTGGCCGTGGTGGAACCTGGTAGATCATTATAATAGTCGATGAAATTTGGAAACATGACGAGTTCGTACCGACAGAGAAAACGAGCCAACTCGAAGGCAAACCGTCTCCGAATTTTGTTGGTGTGCGTGCGTGCGTGTGTTCATGTCGGACTTTTCGTCCTCGAGAAGACAACAAATAAATATATCTGTCTTTCGCTTACCTTTGTTCCATCGTTTCCCCCTTGATCGTACAACGTACGACGGATACCTTCAGCGAGCAACGGCAAAGCAAGAGCTTTTAGACGCCATCGTACCGCTGAAACGCGGGCTGACGGCGAGCGACGAAGACAAGGCGGTTGTGGAGAAGCTGGCACAAAAAGTGGAGAAACTCAACCCAAACCCCAAGTGAGAAAGGTTTCGTTGTCGTCAGTTTTCGCAGGGGACGCTTTCCAAGTTACAGCTGCAGCAGTACCCGCCTAGTCTTCCATACCTCCCGTGATGTCACATACGAGCTATATACAAACCTACATGGTCTTCATGCAGGTTCATCCCAACAAATCAGGTCGTGTGCATAGCGTTGTCCGTTCGTACGCGTTGCCCGTGCATGTTGAGAGGCAGCGAATCTTTCGTAACAACGCTGCCTTTTGTGCGTCGTCAGCGGGAACGCCCCCCTCAAAGTTGTATGTACTCGTATGTTTTTTCTGCGTTCGATCCGACACCTCCTCATTCTTTTTTATGCTTGTCCGGCGCTTAATAAATCGTTTAGTTCGTTGTGTGTTGGGATTAGCCCTGTTGGCATGGACACCCAACGTTTTGTGCGCGATTGAAATGGTGACGTGCTCTTGTTCCGTTTGTGTGGGTTTGAGCGCCTTTGGTGCGCCAGTCTATATATAGGTACGATAAGTCGCAAAAAAACATGCCGACGTAGACATATTCTTCTCAAATGGAAGATCTAAATGTATATATGAAGAAAAAGGATGCCTGGTATTGAAGTTGATTATCTCTGCACACTGTCATGCTCGGCATTTTGCGCATCAACTAATGCCTGCGAAACCGAATGAGCCGAATTTCGAGGCATTCATCTCGCTAGATCGTCAGGAATTTTTGCGTCGTCACTACGACAGGCGTACCATTAGTGAGCCAGCCTCTCCTGCTCCCTACTCGAGCTATCGCGCATGCAACCTAGAATGCGAAAAATCTTGAGCTTGCTTCCACTCTCTTGTGTGTGCCATTCCCCTTCCTAGCCTCTTTTGCCAACAAACGTCCTCGTCTTGCTGCCGGTCTCCCTCTTTATATGCGCCCTCCCCCCTATCCTTCACCGCCGTCTGTTCTTATTCGCGCTCGTTCTGATTCTTTCTACGTTGTCTGCTCCCCCCCCCCATCGCCTGGTTGAACCGTTTCAGATCTCTATCGTCTCCATTGGTTAACGGGCGGTGGGAGCTGGTGTACACCACGTCGATGAGCATTCTCTCGAAAAAGAACCCGGTCATGCGGCCCAGCGGCCCAATTTATCAGGTAGAATAGCCCGTCGCCGCTAGACCTAATCACACTGCTGGTCGGCGCCTGGCTCTTCCCTGGCATACGTCGACCCTTGTAAATTTGTAAACTTGTTAATTCCAAGAATGAATAGCATGAGTTTTAGGAAATAGATAAAACCTTGTTTGCGTACATCGCTCGGGTGTCTCCAAAACCAAAGAGACGTTTTGAAACACAAGTACGTTTCCGGCCGTTTCCGACCCTGCTGATTATGAATGATAAACGCAGCAGAGAGTCGGTTCTTGCATGCAGCTCTTCCGGCGAGGCACCGCTTTGAAAACGTGCATTATTTTTGGAACATAAAAACCGAGACAGATGTACAATATGCCATGAAGGGGTCAAATTTTCCCGAAATATTTCGGGCATTCGACTCTTGTATTGCATTGTCCGTGGATAGAGGTGACATCGTTTTTTTTGTGTTTTTCAAAGAAAAAAGAAGAACCAATCCCCTGAAAACACTTTGCACCTGCCTCTTGGCGAAGGGCTTGGAATAGCTTTCGTTATTTTCTATCGCAGAATTGCGTTTGAAACGTTCGAATGAAACGACCCCAAGAGAACTGCCTCGGCCCTTACCCTCACCCTTGTTGCCGTCTTTTCATCATCCTCATCCTCATCCTCATCCTCATCCAGGATATCGACGCGCCGGGGCTCCGAGCGCTTAACGCGCAGTACATCCAGCCTATCCCCTTCTTGAAGATGCCCTACCAGGTAAAGGGAGCAGAGGGGGGGGGGGGGGGGTTGGAGATACTGACCCACAAACAAAGCGAGGGCAGAAATTGGACAGCAGCTGTTCCGCACAATCGTATGTATGTGGTTCAATGCTCTCCGCCGGGCAGGTAAACAGGTCAGGTCAAGCCAGTTGTAGTTGTCCTGACGTCCTGACGTCCTGACCCGACCTCCTTGTCACAGTCCCTCGGTCGGGCCTGAACCGTAAAGTACCGTAATTGTGCGTGTTATCGCACCCCCGTGTTTGCGTTTTTCTACACAATAGCGTATTTCTCCACAAGTAGGAGGGTGCGAACACCAACTGATACCTCTTTGGAAAGACCTCGACGAGATGTTTCCAAAACCACCCTTTTCGGAGGTGATACCTCGCTGATTGTGGAGAAATACGCTTTTGAAAAACGCTAACACGGGGGTGCGATAAAACGCACAATTGCGGTAATCCATCCAGCTCAGGCCATGACTACCTTCACCTGATCTAACCTGCGGGCCGGGATAGGACCCCTGGATTGCACCACCTAGTGTTGTGGTAATCAACGCCCACATCCCACATTTCCCATTTTTTTTTTTTACTTTTTTCAACTGTACAAGACAGCGAGTTCACCTCTATCCACCGACAAGAGTCCAATACAAGTAAGCAACGAGCTAAATAGCTCAAGAATGCCGGTACACATCATGACATGATCAGTCATGCTGGTACGTGCGGAGTATCACACATGCCAACTGACACCCGCCCCCGCTCGTCCAACGCCAGGTGAGTGCGGAGCTCACACCGACGACCTCGAGCGCGACAGACGTCCAGTTCAAGGAGTTTACCGTTGGCCCCCTCAAGATCAAGGCCCCTGAGAGGGCTCAGAGCGCAATCGACATCACCTACGTAGACGACGAAGTAAGGGTCACCAGAGGCAGTAAGGGTAACCTTTTCGTGTTGGTCAGGGCTGCTGGGATGGAAACGGGATTCCGTTAAGTGGTGTCTGTCCGTGTGATGATGATGATGATGGCACGACTTGAAGTCAGGAGCGGCCGGACATGGAGGCATAGAAAAATGGCATTGTGTTTGCGTTTTCCTCCTGTAACCTTGGCTGATTTAGATAGGGGCGTCCAGAAGAGGTGTAGTCAAAGAGTTGATGAGTGTAGAATGAATGCACCTTATGGAGAAGGGCGATCATGGCTGATACCGCGGGCATCTCGCCATGTAACCTTAGGGAGATGCGGAGGTCGGTTTGTGAGGACGGTGCGGCCATTGAGGTTTTCGCTTTGTGGATTCGATGGATGGTGGTCTGTCGCCTGTCGATTCCCGTTTCGTGCATGTTCGGACTAAAAAAGACGGAGATCTGGTATCGGCCTATCGTGGGCAAGGGACGCTAGCATAGCTCCTGCCTGTCGAATCAGAACGCTCTCTGTAGTGCTACTAGAATGGATGCGTGCGTTTTTCTTTCTTGCATGGTTTTCGTCTGTTGTGTGCCTCGAGTTCGAAAATTAATGCATGGCGTTTGTTTGAGTGTGTACCTCTGCTGCTGTAGTAAGAAAGAAAAGCCCACCAGGGCGGTGATTGTTTGGCCGTAGCAAGCGTTCTTTGTTTCGCCGGTAAGTTGAGGAGGTACAATCCCGCAATTTGTGCGGGAGGTTGTTGGCGCGCTAGGCTGCAGTATTCCCGGGGACCGCTCACAAGGGGGGGGGGGGGTGTACTCATAGTCGTGCGTGCCGTAGTCGCTAGACCATTGACCGTATCCCTACAAGGCCGGGACGGAGCACGCCGAGTTCTCACCGGACCAAGCTCTCACATCACCAAGCGCCAAGCACCGTGAGCTATTCGGCGGGGGCGGTAATGTTGTAGTTGTTAGGCGGCGAGCGATATTTCTTTTGTTGCGTGAAAGAACACAAACGACCTCGAAAACATATCCGTATTTAGCTCCGCTTCCTTCCTGTGTTTGGCTCTTGGACAAACGGAACCCCACACAAGATTGATGTTCAGACGAGTAGCCTTGTAAATACATTGTGCACCCTCTTCATGTGGGGCGGCAGGGGCGAGCCCCTGACCGCCGGCGAGAACCATCCCGGTATGGAATATCATCTCGCTGGTCTAGTAGTTGGTAGGCATGCCTTCGACCGTTTATTTTTCATGTGTGTGTGCTTTGTTCTGGACGTGTGGGAGCGGTGGGTTCTGTTTGTCGACCCTTTTTCTCGTCTTCTGTCGGTCTCCTCCGTCCGGCACGTCAGCTGCTGCTATTTTCTGATGCCTGTTCGGGAATCTTTGTTTTTGTGGGGCCTTTTAACGTGTTCCGCCATGCCTCCGGCATGCAGCGAGAACCTGGCATGGAATAGTCCGGCGTGGTAGGGGTAGGTGTGATGTCTTGTCTGCCTGCTGTCTGTGTTGGAATGGAAATTTCAAGCAAGTGTGCACCCCGGCCTTTTGAAAATCGCACGGTAGCAGGATGTAGGGTTCCAAGGATAGAATCATGTGATTATACGTCGTCGTTTTGTTTCGGTGATCTTCTTGGTGGATATTTTTTCATTATGTTGCTTTGCCTCGCACGTGTGGAGCGGGAGCGGTGGGCGTGTCTTGTGTATCGATCGCGGCCATCCATCTGTGTTGTGTTGTCCGACTTGTCACTGGCGAGCCTGGCTGTCTGGGGACTTCCTTCCTTCTTTCCTTCAAGGTTATTTATCGCGGTTCGTTCTGTTTTTTTTTTTTTTTGTGGGTACGTGCATGCTCGGTTTGATTTTCTCTTTTCTTCAATTCCAAATTATTGCGTACTTACTTGAGTTGGCCTGTGACCACAGGGCGGAAAAGGCGTCCGCCCGGGTTGGATCAGTACGGATGTTCTTTGGTGGTAGATATCCTTGTACTGGGCAGAGATCGTGAGGGTTCCCAATGTGAACACACCTACCAACAAGAAATTTCCTTTAGTAATGATTGATTGACCAATCAGAAAACTGCGGGCACATGCTTACTAATAATGTTGAACAGCCGCACAAAAAAAGAATACCACTCCCACCAAGGGGGCACCATTGTACACATTTTCTTATTTTGTTTGTTTTCGGGGGTGGGGGGGGGTATCGGCACTCTAATTCCTATACAAACCGTAGGGGCCCCGCGGGGGGAACCCTGTTACTTCCCGGATACCCTATGCGCGAGCTAGGGTTCTCTATTGCAAACCCCCAAGCCATGATCACACGCATAACGCATTGGATGCGTAGCACGTTAAGAGAGTACCTAACCCGATCAAGGTATGCGCGAAACCTCGCCCCTAGCACACGATGTGTCCCCCATATAGCGGCTTGCGTGAAGTGTGCTACAAAAGCGCCCCGAAAGAGGTGAGTAACCGATAAATTGTTTTTCGGCTGTCGTCGGGGGGGGGGTACCTAGGTGTGTGGGATGACTTTTAATGTGTACTTTTAGGTGCACCACGAATACCTGGTGATGTCGCATGAGCATCCCAGCCGACAACAAAAATAACAATAAAATGTCGAAAGTGTGAGGTTCACTCCTCCAGCAGACAAGGGGAGGAACCTAACTACTACCGTTTGGTACTCGGACACAGGGACAGTTTTTGGGCGGTGTTGTCTGGTGCCAGTCGGTGCCATTTTGGCGCGGCAACGACTTTTTGGGGTCCCGGATGAATCCCAAGAAACACTGAAGGACCTCGTTGGCTGTGGCTGCTGTTCGCGGCGAGGTGTAGAACTAGCAGAACATCAACGTCTTGACTACTCACTCCTCCTCTCGACTAGAAAACTACCCGCCATCTGGGCTATCCGGAGGCTCAAATACATACGCCGACCACTGGTACCTCTGCAGGGTGACACGCCTTAGCACACATCGTTAAAGATGTTCCGCACGTTCGTGCCGTGCATATCGCCGGCCGTCAAGATTACGTGCCATGTCGTTTCCAGTGGTATAGGACTATCTACCAACCGGGCTGGTGGTCTCGTGTGGTAGTTTTGTAGTGTAGACCTCCAACGAGTGTTTCATGGTCAATCCAAAAGCAGGTGACTTTTGTCGTGTGTGTGGCAGCATCAAGCCGTAGTTGGTTCCCTACAACACTGCCACGTTGTACTCCACCCCCAATATTCAGCCGGCGCACCCCGCATGACAATCACACACACACTTCGGAACTCCATTCACACGAACGCACTCACTCCCCGTCAAGGCAACGCGCGCAAACAATCAACCAACCGAACACACACAAACGAGCGGATAAACGACCGCCTCGCCTAAAATGGAGTGAGTGTGATATATGCCTACATAGTATACGTACGTGCGGCGAAAATCTCCGCTAACCTTCGTCCCCAGCCGCCATGGAGGACTAAGCCACAGGTGCATCCCACCGCACCAAAGCGTTGGCAGGTCGTCGGCTTTCTACGAAAAAAAATCAACATTGATTTCACGAGCGGGAAGTGCCCCGACGGTGAGAAATAGCCGACGTCCTCTAGACGTAATTCGATATGCTGCGACAACCAACCAATAAGATGGCCGTGGCGCCAAAACTACGGGAGGAGCTCCCCGGCAGCGAGCGGCAAGTCTTCGACGACACGGGGCGGCATCAAACGGTATCCTTGTTTGAAGCCGATGAACGGAATCTCCCCTGCAGCGAGCGGCAAGTCTTCGACGACACGGGGCGGCATCAAACGGTGTCCTTGTTTGAAGCCGATGAACGGAATAGTCCCTCCTATAAAATCATCTGCGCGCGTGTAGTGAACATGGTGTGACACGTTCCATGATGACATACCTACCTGACACCGATTCAAATAGGAGTTCTTCCCTTCCGTTTCCGCAGGGGATCCCGGCCTCCCGAACACACAAGCACTCCACCACCCCACCCCCCGTAAACCGATAATCGATACCATCCCTCTTCACATCGATTGTCTTGCACCGAGCGTACCCCCCCCCCTCGCCGAGGGCTCATCGTGGTATCCCGCGACAGCCCTGAACCCATTCTATACTGACTGGTGGCTATTGCCCTGAGGAGAAGAAGGGACGCAACGCCCTAAACGCAGCCTAGAAACACCACGCGTCCGTCTTTGCCCTCACCCCCCTGCAGCCGTTTAGGATGCCCACGACCAAGGCAACGCCCAAGCGAACGACCTTTGCTGCCGACGCTACCACTCCACGGCTCGCAATCCACACACACCCCTGCGAAGCCCCGCTAACAAGCTCCCAGCCGAGAGACGGCGGGGCGCATGTACAACGGTGGGAGCGGCCGACGAGCCATCGTCCGAAATTTCCCCTCACATGGCTCGTCCTTCAGATGGGGCTACCGTCGGCGCGGCAGTCGGGCTCGCCGAACGTAAATACGTCGATACTGCAATGCCGCCGGAAGGGCGGGGGGGGGGGGGGGGGGGGCCAGGAAAAAAAGGGGCCCCCCAAAAACAAGAAGGGTATAAAAAAAGGGGGGGGGGGGGAAAAAACCTTCCACGGGGTTTCCCCCGAAAAACCGTTTTTTTTCCCGGAAAAATTTTTTCTCCCCCAAAAAGGGAGTAAAAACCCCGCGAAAAAAATTGAAAAAAAAAAAAAAGGGCCCTTCTTCCGGGGCCCCAAAATAATTTTTCCCTGTTTGTTTTGGCCTTTTGGGGGGGTTTTTTTTTTCCTTTGCCCCCAAACGCCCCCCAATAAAAAAAAGGTGGGCCCGGGAAAAAAAAGGGGGGGCCCGGCAAAAACCAAAAAAAAATTTTTTT